CACATTTTTTAGACTCGCCTGATTGATTTTTATTTTAAATATAATAATTTATAAATAATGAAACTTACATTCACCCATCTATTTCAAGGTTATATGGAATCATTTATATATCATTTACCTACATTAGGTACATTTCATTTGCTGGTTGCGATATAACTCTGTTTGGGTTTTCGTTACATATTTTGTCAGTAATGGAAAATCATTATATACGAACAATTTTKAAATTAATTTCAAACCACAGTACCGCCTACTATTTACACATAATTACTGCAGYTCCGTTTAATACACATTATTATATTATTTATAGTATTTTTTGTGTAGTGGGTAATATTTGTATAYGATCCATAAAAAATATCTACAAGGCTTGACGAAATGTTTTGCGATTAGCAAGTCTACATGAAGAGTGACGACTATTCGCTTAAACTGGTTTGCAAAAAAAAAAAAGTTGGTCCGTTTCGTACGACATTTTTACACGGGTAAAATGTGTAACGTATAGAARTACGTGTCGGCCAGTGGCCACGCGTCGTGACCGGTCGCGTGGTTTCCGTGACGGCTCTGCACTGCACYGTATAACATTATAATTTAAAATAACATTATTCTTATTATATTCCYGCCGCCGTAATAGTACAACAACAACGACAATAATAATAGCGTCGSCCGTCGCGCCGATTTCTATTGTTTCCGTTTTTTTTTCCGCGTGTTTGTATAATTTTTGCGTGTCTTACGCACATAATATCGCCAGCGTAGAGTAACTCGCGCGACGTGTCGACTTTATTATAGTAAGTCGTTCGTGTCCGCTTGAGCGTTTACCGACATAACAGGTGTGATGTAGCCGTCCGCCGGCCAATTAACTCGGTACACGTCCGACACGTCTGTAATCCGCGACGGATCTCTGCGGGCGTATCCGTTACGAATATCGTAGGTACATAATATAGTGCATTTGTGTGAGGCGCGCGGCCAGTGGCCACTGGCCACCGGATTATATGCGATTATCATAATAGGTATACCATTATACTCGTGTGTGTGCGTGCGCGCACGCGCGTTGATGATATATATTTGTGGCGATTGAACGCGGCCGACGCGCAAAGGATCGTGACCGGTATAGGTAACCGTGGTTTTTACCGCGTGCACGGAACAGCTGAAGGAATATATTAAAATGTTTAACAGAAAAAAAAAATTGCGATACACGCGTAGGTATACCTATTACCTATACATATATCATAGTTACATTACACATGGTTACTGGTAAGGCAGGTATACATATTAATAGCACATACAAACGATTTGGGCGTTATAGTATAGGTAACGTTCGCGTGTGTGCGTGCAGTATGGACGTATGGTACTTGTGGTCATCCGCGCTGTGCAGCTGCGGTATCGCCCAATGGCTTAAATCAAGAAAAAAAAATAACACTCGCGAATACGACAAAGTCAGTGCGGCGGCGGCGTGTGTATCGATAATCGCAATATCTAATGCATAATATGATTTTATAACGGTCATGAACCGTCCAAGGCTGGTTTTTTGAAGTTCGTTCGATATGTTGTCCATCAGGATTTTTCACCGAATACGTGTCGAACACGCATTTTTAATAATGACACGTTTCATTCCTTGGAATTATAATATATTTTTTTTCTACATTACTGTTCATTTTACTTATACGAATCAGTTACATACCTATATGTATGGTGTAATGACGCGACCCGTCAGATTGGTTTTAATTCCTAATGATACTTCGTGGCCACGTGGGGGAAAAATATTTTAAGGTCAAGGTTATTTTTTGATTATAATGATTAAATATGTTGCATTATTACAAAATAATGAATTTTTTAAGTGATTCCAGTGATACCACCCATTACACATACGAGAGGATACTGTTACACGGCGCATTTCTTATTCTCATACCTACAGGTAAATCTATCATTTTAGAAAAAAACTAAATTAGTTTTATTTAATGGACATGCCGTATGAAAAACATGTCATAACGTATGATTATTAAATTGTTATTATTAATAGTCTAGAAAAAAACGGTTAGGTACCTACGATATTGTTTTTGATAAAACATAATGAAGAGGATGCCAGCCATGGATTTGTTGTCGCCGTCTTATACACACAAAACATATGAAATCGTCGTTCACTAGTTTCTATAATCAATGGTGTGTTGTTAGTTTTGATATTTGAGTTGATTGACCTAATAATCCGTGGGGATATAATCAATCTTTCTTTTTCTTTTAGATAAAGCATTATCTGTGTTTGACTGTTTAAGTGGTCAGCTTTTATTCGATATTTTAATTTTCAAACGAGATATGATCATCTTTAATTTGTGATAGGTATTTCTCACATACCTACTTTTTGTTTGGAAATTAAATTTTCGAATAAAATTGCTAACGTTTAAGTACTGCAGATGATGGACTAATCTAAAAGTAAAATGTGTGATAATAGGTCAATTCACAGTAATATCAAAAAATAATAGCACACTATTGAAACTATTGTGAACGACAATTTGTTACCCCTTAAGTTTGTAAGACAGAGACAACATACTCATGGGTAGCATCTTCTTAATAGTTGATATAGTTATAGGTATTGAGTT